TTTTTTTGGTTTTTTTCGAGACAGGGTTTCTCTGTGGCTTTGGAGCCTGTCCTGGAACTAGCTCTTGTAGACCAGGCTGGCCTCCAACTCACAGAGATCCGCCTGCTTCTTCCTCTCGAGTGCTGGGATTAAAGGCGTGTGCCACCAACGCCCGGCTCTGAGGCCATTTCTTAAGGAAAGTTAGACAAGTAATCATAGAAGGATGGGAAGGAGAATGTTCCCAATGTGGAGTGAGGTGGTGGTCTCTAAAAAGTGAAGCCTTGTGCAATGTACATCAAATATAAAGCAAACACTAAGTGGATAATTTTTCCTTAAAATGAGTATATTTACCCAACAACTAGTCTGTTTTCACATTCATCCTGAGAATTTAGAAGAGGTGAAAGGAAATATTATCTCCCTCAATTTGGGGACTTACACTAAGTGTGAAAGTGAGGAATTTAAAAGGATGTGGATAAGATTTTATCGTACAAGTCGTTCACTTCTTTAGATTTATTCTAAGATTTTTGTTTTAGTTTTTTGTCTGCTTTGTTTTGTTTTTGCTATCTGGAATGATATTGTTTCCCTGACTTTTTTCTCAGTATGCTTGCTGTTGGTATAGAGGAAGGAAGGCTACTGATTTTTGTGTAATTTTGTATCCTGCTGCTTTGCTGAGTATGCTTATCATCTTTAGGAGTGTTCTGGTGGAATATTTTATATATAGAATCATCTCTTCTTTAATTAGGATATTTTGACTTCTTCCTTTCCTAATTGTACCCCGTTTATCTTGCTGTTTATCTTGTTGTTCTAACTAGGACTTCAAGCACTATATTGAACAGGAGAGGAAAGAGGGGACTACTTTTTTTGTTGTTCCTGAAAATTCTTTAGGGTTTTTCTCTGTTTAGCAAGATGCTGGGTGTGGGTTGTTACTGTGTATTGTCCTTATTATGTCAAGGTATGTCCCTTGGTTCCCTAGATTCTCTGGGACTTTTATCATGAAGAGATGTTAGATTTTGCCAGAAGTCTTTTCTGAATCTAATGAGATGATCATGTGGTTTGTGTCCTTGAATCTATATAGTGGATTACATTCACTGATTTAAATATATTGAGCCGTCCCTGCATTTCTAGGGGTAAAGCTAGGTTGATCATGGTGGATGATCTTTGTGACATGCTCTTGAATTAGGTCTAAGTCTTTATTTGAGGAGTTTTCATTTATATCCAACAGGGAAGGTGACCCATTATTTTTCCTTCTTCCTTCCTTTCTATTTTTCTACAACAAAATGGTATTTCTAGATATGATATTTATGACAGGTGCATGTATGAACTCAACAGTGCTTGTGACAGTATGTCAAGACCTGCATGAGCTCAAACCAGACAAAATTCCATTATGGAGGACTGGATGGAGGAAGTAGACACAGAATCCCACTCTTAGCTGGGGAGCTATTGACAGTTGAGTACTGCTGTCCTTTTCTTTAAGGGCGTGACTCCTGGATGGTCAGCCATGTCCAGGGCAGGCCCCACACCCAGGAATATTTGGATAGCACAAATTGGTGGTTTAAAAAAACAAAACAAAACAAAAAAGAATGTGCATGTGGATCTGGAAGGAGATAGGAGGGTGGTGAATATGATCATAAATATTATATGAAATTCTCAAAACATTAATAAAATATTATTTTAATAAAAGGTTTGGATTAGCCCATAGGTACTTAGTGTTTGGTGGGGAGAGAGTTGATTGATAAGGAGTTTATCCTTAACTTTTTGCATTTCAGGGAAATAGTCCCATTGTGTGATGACAGAGCATTTGACTAGCTCAAGATTTGACTCCGAGTGAAAGATCGCATGAGCAAAGGACAGTCTCAGAAAAAATCTCTTTCCTGTCTTTTCCACTGTAAACAGGGATTTCTAATGGTGTGGAAGTTGTAAGAAGATTATGCCAGCTGAAAGGTTTAGTGTTCATGTCGAAGACTATATAAATGCCAAGTAATACAGTGAAAACTGTAGTCAGCAAGGCAAGGCTCAGAAACCGAGCGAGAATCACATGAAGTCAAGATTGAACAACTATAAAAATGTGAACAGTGAGGCCCATAACATCATAATGACTTGTTAATGATAAAATAGTAAAAGGGGCTTCAGGGTCCTCGCAAGTCCAGTGTTTAAATTGGCTGCCAACCTTCTCATAAAAATACGAGGAGGAAATGAATCTGAGATCTTTGAGACTCTCTGATCTCCTGACACCTGCTCCTACAAGACAAGAAACTGGATGAGAAGCGAATGTAGAAGTCACAACTTGTGTTGGGTTTTTAGTTCATACTTCAAGCTTCTAAAAGTTGCTGTGATCCACGATAGACTTTGATTCTGTTGGTGGTGAGTTGTATTGTAGCATGCAGACTGCCTGTTTGCTCTGCAGCCTGTTTGGGTCAGGCTTATCCCATCAGCTGTGCACTGGCTTTGCAAGTTTTCAGATTTTTCATCCCAGTAGAAGTAGTGTAAAGGAACCCCAGCCAGTTCCCTGCCTGAATGCTGCGTACGCACCGCTGACTGCCTGTCCTCTGGGCTTTACATTAAGACTGCAAGCTGGATTTGGAGGAAGACCCACTCCTTTCTTAGTTACCTTGCTGGGGTTAGTTCGTTTTTTATGCTGGGCTTACTGAGGTGTGTTACCATGCCCAGCAACAGGGTGTTAGTTCCAGTGTCTCATATTTTGATTTGCTTTAGAAAAGTAAGATTGCCATAATAATAAATACTCATTTAAAAATATAGTTCAATTTCTTCAGAATATCAAGCTTATGGCCTTTTAACCAATCTCCTGTTGTGATTTTCTGTATATAAGTAGAGTAGCCTAGAATACAAGTTAATTTTTTTCCTGTGTTCTTAGTTAGGATGTGATTTCTTCTTTTATTGCCTTTAGCTTAAGAAAAGAAAATTGTTTTTAACTAGCTTGAAAATAACAGTAATGTCTAACCCATGAAGTGGCTGAATCATCTCCAGTGAGATGGTGCTCTGGTATAAGGGAATGTCCAGAGGGTCTCCGTTGTTGCCTGCTGTATAGAGTTGTGTAGCCATAGCCTCCTTGTCCTGGTGTTACCGATCTGCATCTGGAGAGCATCTGTCCTTTGGCTGCTCTGAATCTTAGCTGATGACCATTGTTGATGGCCTAAACAATGTGAGGATTCCAGGTTTTAAAAGGGAAATTACTGCTTTTATGTATTATAACAAATTTCTATCAAAAAGCATTAACTGCTTATCCTGTTACACAAATCATAAAGTTCTTCTGAGGACTTAACTATATATTTAAAGGGACTGTTTCTGATGTACTTTTGTTTATAAAAGTATACATGGCTGTTAAATCTTAGATATTGGTCCAATAGCTATAATGGTTTAGAAAAGTGCAATTTCAGCTAAGAACTTGTTTTTCCTTCCCTGGAAAGAAAAGATTGTATTCAAGAAACATGAGGTAATAAGAAATTAGGGTAAATATTGCTTATGACATTATATTTTATTGTGATTTATCAGTTTAATCAACAGTTGTCCCATAGTACCCAGGTTAAGTGATAAATTCACCCTAACAAACTTTCTGCCATCTACTCTCTACTTGTTTCTGCTCAATAAAGTGTTAATACCTCAAGGACTGGAAAGATGGCTCAGCAGTTAACTGCACTTGCTGTCTTGCAAAGAATCAGGGTTTGGTTCCCAGGACCCAGATGGTGGCTTATATCATTTGAAACTCCAGTTCCAGGGGATCCCACACTGACTTCTGTCTTTCAGTGTTGTTGAGCACATATAGTGCATAGACATACATGGAGACAAAAGACTCGTACACATAAAGTTTTTAAAAATTAAAAGTATTTCACTTCAGAATAACTTGTTTTCTTCTTGAAATTTGGAGAACATTAAAATTTTTATTATATTTATTTTTGTGTGTGCATGTGTCCACATACCCATGTGGAGGTTAGAAAACAACCCACAAGAGTTGATTCTTTCCTTCCACTTTGTGTCTCCTGGTAATCAAACTCAGGCCATCAGGCTTGGTAGCAAACACCTTTACCTACTGAGCCATCCCAATGGCTACAGAGAACATTTGTTTTGTGTTAAGATAATATATTTGCCCAGTGGAAGTATAAAGATTGTGATACTAATACTCAGTGAGACCCAGTTATTCCATAATACCATGGCTAATTTAATGGTTGTTCCAACTTGTTGTCCCCTTAGATACAATTTCTATATGATTTTAAAAAATGATTTATTTATCCATTTATCTATCTGTTATATCTATCATCTGTCTGTCTGTCTGTCATCACTCTTGTAAAGGAGCTGGGAAAATTTCCAAGAACACCACTGAAGTTATTAAATGACCTGTCACATATTTCCATAAGTTTCTAATTGACTTTGACTTACAGCTTAATCTTTAAGTTTTTTCCTAGAAATACCCTGTCTGTTTATGCTAGTCTTAGATGATCTAGTCTTAGACTCTTAATTGCCTTATGAAAATCTAAATCATAGAGCAGACTCACACGCTCTTGACTTAGAGTTTCTCTGTGAATTCAGGTAAAGGGAGAGAGAATTTGATGTGGACTCAGGAACAAATACTGTCTTTGACTTTGGGGGGAAAATCACTTTGTTTCAGTTGGTGGGAGTCAGAATATGCAGGTCAGAGTTGATTGGCATTTAAATGCTTGAAGAGTTAGTGGGAATGTTGAGGCGCATCTGTGGTTCATTTGAACGTCCTAACATCTGGGATTTGTTGTGTTTATTTGTTATAGTTTTGTGTTTATCGACTATAGATTGAAAGCGTCACCCTTTTGAGGTAACTCAACTGCATTTGTATTTAGGAACACGATTTTTTTTTTTTAAACGCAAGATTTACAAGAGGAGAGAAGGGAGTCTAAGGGCTGGAGTTGAAGTAAAGTTGCCAGATCTGATTTGAGTAATTGCACTAATTAATGCACTGAATGTAGTGGGATGAGGTCCACAGGCTTTTCCAAAGTGAATTACCCACTGATTTTTCCTTCTCTAACTTCCTACAGGAAACCAGTTTCCTCCCATTGCAGCCCAGGACCTTCCTTTTGTCTTAAAGGCTGGCTACCTGGAAAAACGCAGAAAAGGTGAGCTAATGAAAATACAAAAGCTGGGTTTTCCCTCCTAAGATAAAATATATTTGTGGCATACTCACGGAAGCAGTGTTCTCTACGGACGTAAGAAAATATGAGTGACCTTATCCAAACATGAAGTGCCACTTTGAGTTTTACATAGTTTTTACTAACAAAGCGTAAGTGATTCAGGAGCAGTGTCCTACATCTGGGAAAGCTTCAGGCATGAGCATGCTCTCAAGGTTGGCGTTTCTCACATTAGCCCATGTGAGCCCCCTGCACCCGACTGGCACACACAGCCTGCCCTCTCCCCTGCTGCTGTCTGTTACTCCCTTCAGCGTTGCCTCTCCTTTGGCCTTGCTAACTGGGACTTCCATGTGGTCTCCAGAATAAAATGAACCCTGGGGGTGGTGTTATGATATATGGAGTGAAAGCAGGAGAGCGCCTGTGACCATGTAGCTCACCATAGCTAGCTGCTGCAGACCTTCTGACTATACTCCACTTGTAATTCTGTTTTCATCTTTTTAAGCTGAAAGACGTAGTAGGAATGATCCAAGTCAATCCCTCCCTTTCCCTTTTATGACAAATTTGAGAAAAGCAGACCCCATGGATTAGCTATATCAAGAATATTTAGTCAGGTACCTTTTTGAGACTGTCCCTACAGGGAAAGTTTGGTGACCAGACAGTTGAAACAATCATAATTATGGTGGCCCTATCTCTACTGGACTTTATCCATTGCTGTTTCTGCTGCTTGTCCTTTGGGATGGAAAATACAGACTAATGTTAGAGGTAAAAGGAAGCTCAGAAATTGTAATAGCTAACTTCACCTCCTGTGGTGAGAAAATGGCATTTTGTAAGTCCTGTGTAGTATCTAACCTGCTCACTGTCCTGCTTTTTACAGATCACAGCTTTCTGGGGTTTGAATGGCAGAAACGGTGGTGTGCTCTCAGCAAAACAGTGTTTTATTATTACGGGAGTGATAAAGGTAGTATTGATCTTTGCTTACATCACTTTCCTTTGCACCAGTTTGCAACCATTTTCCTGCAGAGTGAACAAGGACAAAATGGAGAAAGAACTAAGAAGTTTTCAGAATTATAGTTTAAGGTTAATTTGTAATTATCTTTCATTATTTGACAGATGTTGTGAATTCCAAACTATCCTAGACACTTAACACACTTGTATTTTTATGAATTATGAAAGAAAGTAAAATAATTTTCACTCCTGTGGCTTTTCACCTTAGTATTTGTCATCTGGGCTACAGTTTTAGAACTTGAGAAAAAATGGGGAACCATGATGACATGAGATGAAAATATTTGAAGACAGGAAAAACTGGTAAATTTTTTTCATATAAAATTTAATGGATACAGTACTTCCTAACCTGACATTAAGGATGCCAACAACAAAAGTTATATTCCAGACCCTCTAAGTGTTTTATCTGTATAAGCAAGCCAACTAGCAAAACTTGTTTAACACACAGCATTTATATGAAGTAGGCCCATTATTAGCCTATTTGTTTACTTACAGTGTTTATTAACATATATCAATTGTATGTAATTTCCACAATCTGTGTGGCTTGGGTAGCAGTTTTGCCAATTTTCCATGGGTGCAAGGTCTTGGTCCTTGGCATGGCTGTGCCCATGTCAACAGTTCACTTTGATTCAGGGTTTCCTCCATTCCCTGCACATGGCAGCTCTCACCATGACGTCTTCACTCATGGGCACGATGCACTTGGATCACACACTACATTTGCTCCCCGGACCCTCCTCCTGCTAATCCCTCCCTTTCTAACTGCTCCATTTCCCTCTCTCCCTCCCTCCCTCCCTCCCTCCCCAGTAAGTTTCATTAGGGTTGCAGCAGCAAGAGCACCTCACCAGTGTCTATCCACTGAAGAAAATGTCCTTCCCTCTCCATCAGCTCTTAACTGCATATGGCTCCTCAGGAAGCAAGGCCCTCTGGGCCCCTCCATCTGCTGTGGCATATCCATAGTCCCAGCCATTCTCAGCTATCCCATTTATTTTAATGTTAGGGAAACAAAGGACTGAGAGGCTAAGTTGTACAATGTCCATTCTCAGAGTGGTAGAAGGCAGGCCTGGAAATAGTTTACAGTTCAGACTTGTGACCACTATAGACCCTCTGTTAACTTTCATACCTACAACTTCATGCTTCATTAGTATTAGTTAATAAATGTCATTGTTAATAAACTGTTAGTAAATAAACTTTATTAATGCACAATTTTAGTAATAGTTCTCATAATTTTAGCTTTCTTATTTGAATAAGTGAAGCTACAGAATAATGAAATTTACTATACATATATATATACATATATATATTATAATATATTAAATTAGCTTTGCTTTTTTCAAAGGGAAAGCAGATTGTAAGGTAGATATTGTAAAGTAGAAGCCATTGCTTATAGAGATAAGCAATAGCCTAGATGGTAGATTTGATTAAAATGTATTATGAAACCATTATTTTATATAATGAATATGCACTGATTTTTTATGAATAGTGTACACACACCACACACACACACACACACACACACACACATATATATATAAGTTGGTATGTGTTTTACACAAAACAAAAAACAACAGTGAAAAATTTCTAAAATAAATACTCTATTCTTAGAGAAAATAAGAAGGAAAGACAGGTCATGTTTATTAGAACAATATGCAGATGAAATTATTGTATTTCAGATAAATTTGAAGTTTTACATACTACCAGAAGTCGGTCTCACCTTTCTGGATTAATGACTTTAGATTTAGTGGCCAGTTGCATTCTGTCGTCAGCGTGTTCTATGAAGTCAGTTTGCAGCCCTTCACTTCCTCCTCGTGAGCAGGCAGCCGATGGAGTCCAGTTCAGTTATCATCATCACGGATTGTAACGTACATCACCATTGTAGAAATGTAGTTTTCTACACTGTTATGAATTTACATAAAAATCTTACCATTTCTCAAAAAAAAAAAAAAAAAGTCCAGCTTCCATCAGACTCAGAGAAAGAAGTTTCAAATACTTGTAACTTTGGTTCAGTTAGGCTTCTCATTGCTATGATCTGAGGGTCACTATTTAATGCTTAGATGAACTAATGTCAGTGTTAGTTCAAAGCCAGCAACTCTTCCTAAAACCCAAAGGAGTGTTTGTATTTATATTTTTCTCCAAAGGCCACTGTTATAGAAAGAAGTTCTGGCTAGAATCTGTGGGATGGTAAATTTCCATTCTCACTCTTATCGCTAGACCTTTGGTGCTGTCATTATCAGCAGTTTGCATTTTAAGTGCTTTGTGATTCATTTCGTTCCCTTGGCCACTTGATTTTCCTTGTTGGTGCTTAAAGACCAGGCCTGTGTAGTGCACTCTGGGTGCCGTGTCTTCCCAGGCGTCTCAAGTCTGTTTGCAGCAGTTCTCTTCTTCCAGAATCCCTGTCCCTCCTCTTTAGGGACTGAAAAAAATCTGCCTTTATACATTTCTTAATTGCTTGTTTGGCATGATCCCGATTTCCTGCCACTTTATCTTTTTTTTCAGGAAAACATTATCAAATAACATTTTAATTTTCTTTTGTGTAATCAACTAGCTGGGTTGTATGGCTTTATTGTATGTGCGAACCATTACTTAAACTTTGGAAAGAGCTACCTAGATATATGAAAACTGTAAGCCTCTAAGCAAGTAGGATGGAGATAAATGGTTTATAGAGGCGCGAGGCGGGGTTGCTACCACTCACTAGGTTAAGCCATACTTCGTTACTGTTTGACACAAACGTAGCTCACATTTTCTACCGTATTGTGTGCCAAAACCATATTGACCTATCAGAGTAGTAATAGCTTAGAAAGAGTATGGCTATCCTCCAGGGTATGTAATGCACTTACCTCTACGCCCATAAATATCTCTGTATTTATTATTCATAGCCATTCAGGTCCTTAAGTAAAAAATATATATAGTGCAGGTTTTATCACTGTGTGAAATAACCATCCATCCTCCCATCTCCTTTCTTTTTCTATGATTGTCATGAGCCTCATTCATCAACCGCCCTATGTCCTAGATATTCAGATTCGCATCAAGGCATTCATTCATTCACTTACTCACTTATTCACATTTTATTTGGTAAACATTTGCTAGATACTCGATATAATCAACAGTGAGAATCCAAAGAGCCTTAAAGGTGCTCACTGCTTAAGCTGTGTGAGCATCATAGAGAAGATAAGAAGCTGTGAAATCAGAGGCAGGGGCTAGGCAGACAGACATAAATTCAATGAGGTATAATAAGTAATTTAAATTAAATACCCTTGGATCACAAAGAAGTGAAAACTAACTGCTAGGGGCCTTTGGGAAAACTTCCTTGTGAGAAGGACATTTTACTGGGCCATAAAGAATGAATAGAAGTTTACTGGATAAAAGCCATAATTTTAATTGTGTGTCTATCCAAAATTTGGAATTTGAAGCCACTTCCAAGAAGGTAGTATTAGGATGTAGGCATTTAGAAGTGATTGGACCATGAGGGCTTTCGCCTCATGAGTGACACAATGAAAACGTTCAAGTGCACTCTGGAGCCCTCTCTTGTACGTCTGCCCTACAAGGCCGCAATGTTTCTCCCTCCAGATGGTGCTGCAGCAGCATGGTCACTTGCAGCCAGGGAAGACCCCGCCAGATGTTTAACCTGCTGGCACCTCCATCTTGGATTTCTAATCTGCTAGAACGTTGAGAAGTAAATTTCTGTTGTTCACAAATTACTCGGAAATGGGTGTGACAGCAGTGCAAATGGACTAAGAGAGAGCAAAGCGGAAGGTGTGCATTTCAGGGGACAGAAGAGCAGAGATCCAGCACTGTGAAAGCCTGTAGATACAACTACTTTATTTAATAAATATTAAATAAAGCCCTTTATTTAATAAATATATGTAAGCTGATAATATTTTCCACATAAAATAGTACTCTAAATTTTAGTCTTTATAGTATAGCTCAGAACATGTAGTATTGGGTGTTGGTGTTGGAAATTCAAGCACAGGTCCTCATGTTCACAGAGCATGTAAGGATGTCACTAAGTCCATTCCTCAGTTTCCTCCCCCACCTTATTTGTGAGGTAGTCTCTCACTGGCCTGCATCTCATTAATTAGGATAACTTAGTTGACCATCGAGACTCGAGTATCTGCCTGCCTCCACCCCACAGTGCTGGGATTACCAGCATGGCAACCATGCCTGACTTTTTCTTAGGTTGTTGGGATCAGCTGAAGTCCTTATGCTTGCAAGATGGGTTCTTTACAGGCTGAGCTATCTCCCTCCCCAGGCTCCACAATCTTGTTGCTTCCTTTCTTTTCCTCTCCACTTTGTCCTATAGTGGTGTGTCTAAATAATCTGAAATGCTTACTGGAAATTGCATTCATGGCTTCTCTGGCTCTCCTCCTAGACTGTAAATGAAGATATGTATGTTGCCCCCCACGTGCTTGGGGGAGGATGGTGTAAAGTGGCTTTGCTAGTGTTGGTTGGGGACACATGATTTTGGTGTTGGGTATTCCCGCGTGGGACGTGTTGCTCTGCCCAGCTCTTCCCTGTGCTGCTGACTTTCCATCTCCAGCAGGGCTCCCAATCCTTATGCTTTTCAGCATCACCATGTGACAGTGATGAGAGCTCTGAGTCAGATTAGCAGGAGAAAGCCTATGCTTCGGAGTAGGTGGTGAGTGGAGATTGAATGCTTTGGAGTGGGGACCAGGTTTCATCCAGATCTGGTCTTTGAAGTCTTGTTTCTCTGGCAGAGTTGAAGGAAAATCTTTCAAAATTTCACTGGACCACTTAAGTATTTTACCTCATATTACTTTCATTTTTTGTAGTGGGAGTTAAATTCCTCTTGAAGTATAAGTGTATCATTGGCTGGTATTTGGGAAATACCTACATTTGTAAAGCATGTATGTTTATTTTGGTGAGAAAGATCTGATAAAGTGTACTATTAATAACTTTTATCTTAACTATCAGGCATGTTTAAAGTGCTTAATATAAATTTGTTGAATGAATGAAGGCTTAGTTTTTTCCTTGAGAATGGTAAAAGAATCAGATGTGTTTAACCACTTACTGTTTTCCACTCTTCCTTCAGTATTTTTCAAGTTAGGTATTTCATACACTAATTCTGGGGAGCATCAGATGTATAAAGTGTTCTCTGGATAGAAGAATTTCATAGATGAGTCATGTTTGCACATGCTGCATAGATTTTTCTCCTGGAAATTCAGTTGGTATGTAAATTCGCTAATGGCCTTAAGAAAGGCATAATTATATAATCTAGACTCATGAAACTCTTTAACTTTTTGGTTTTTGTCGGTACTGAGGATATCTTGTACACTGAACTACATCCTCAACTCCATTAACTTAGTTTAATTCAGCAAAAAGCATCTTAAACGTATGATCAGAGAATTACCCTGATATCTAAAAGAACACATATTGGACAGTGTGATACCCCTTCTTTCTCCTTTCTTTGTTTTGATGCACAATATCCCACTGTCGTCTAAGCTGGCCTCAAACTCACGATCTTCTTGCCTTAGGTCCCTTGCTGATTTACAGGCACACACCTGGCCTGTAATTTTTAAAGTAAAGTTTTGTAAAGCTTACAGTGAAGTATGGAATTTTTCAACCAAATGAAGTTCAAAAACTTTAACTAGAATTTTTTAGTCACCCAGATATATAAATTATGACTAAATAGATTGTTCAGTCTTAGGTCATGCCTATCTAACTCATATTTTTTTCTCATTTGACATTTTGGACAACATATGGTCTCCATGCCCTTTAAAAAGTGATGTTACTTCAGGTGCTAAATTAGTATATTTAAGAAAAGAAGATATGTATTTTATTCTTGGCCTTGCATTATGAAAGCATTTCTGTACTTCACCCTGTGCTCAGTAAAACAGACACTTTGTCCCTACTCCTGATTTTGGTGTTGTATGTTAATGTGAAAAAAACAAAAAACAAAAAAACCCTATTGCTGTGTAGCTTTTTCTATCAAAATGGCACAACCTAATAAAGAAAGCTGATGTTCTTAGTTTTAGAGTATTAAACTTTTTGTTTCTGTTCTGTTTTGTTTATCTTTGCAATAATACTTAACCAAACCGAAGCCATCTTTCCTTTGACTGTACCCTGATATGGTCAGGTGCACTTTCCTTTCCCGGGTTGTCTGGACTGTCTGGAGAACCCTCTTCAGCAATGTCAGCTTACTTGCCTTTTTACTCTGCTCCAGCCACATATTTGGCTCTTGCTTCATGCTTGGTTTCCTTTTTTTTTTTTTTTTTCTTTTAAGAGTAAAGAAGAAAACTTTTCTGTAAAGGAGCACTCCAACTTGGTGGTAGTACTAAGGGAAGGCCAAGACAGTAAATAAGAAGGTCCAGCAAGCTTCAAGAAGGCACTTCTACCACCGGCTCCCTGAAACTAAAATTTCTAGCAATTTTAAGTTCTAGTGGTTAGATTTTCTCTTATGTATTTCCTCGCCTCCTTCTGAAAACCACCACCACCATACCATCCCCAGACCTCCTCCTCTGGTTCACTAACACTTTCACAGCTCAGAATGCTAAAGTAGCTGACTGAAATTTCTCCCGAGACTTGACAAAGAAAACCTCAATAAGAGATAATCGGGCATTTATATTCACTGTGGTGAAGGAAACTCTAACTTGGCTTTTATCTTCTATAGACAAACAACAGAAAGGTGAATTTGCAATTGAGGGCTACGATGTCAGAATGAACAACACCCTCAGAAAGGATGGAAAGAAAGATTGCTGTTTTGAAATCTGTGCTCCTGATAAACGTGTCTATCAGGTTGGAATTTTTATGTTGCCTTAAAATTAACTTTATAAGATGTTCTAATTTCATTTATACAGACATTAACATTTTATTAAAAAAGCTTTCCCTGACATATCAATAATAAAAATACTGTTTTATACATTGAACATTCATATAAAGAGGAAATACATTTAAAAATTTCTGATCAGCTCAGGTGATCCATCCTTGCAAAAGACCAAATGAATTTGTAATTTATCAATCACATCACATGTAATATTTTACATCTACTTTAATGGAACTGTGTGACTTCCTAAAAGAATTACATAGCAGAAAGAATGAAATCATCAAAGGAAAAATATTAGAGTATTAATGCATATTGTATTGCTTAGGGGTGTGGGAGAAAATGAAGATAAAGACACATTATCAACTCTACCATTCAAGAGCCATCAGCTAGGCATCAATATGGAATGTATGTTTAATAAGTTTTAAATATCTGAGATTGCAGTTGAAAGCCAGTTAATTAAGTTGTCAGGTAGTGTGTTGAAATCTGACAAGAACATTTTTAAGAAAACTGTAGCCAGCAGTCTAAAGAAATTCATGGATGTCTTCTAATTGTCAAGGGCAAATTCTGTTCATCAGTTCAGCCTTTGACATTGATGAAGAGAAGCAGCGTTTTTCCCTGTGCAGCTGCCAGCTGCTGATCAGAGTTTCAAATCCATCATCCTCTGCTTCAATTACACAAATTTGTCAAAATTAACTGTACATTATAAGAAGCATCCTTGCAAGAACAGTACCTTAGACATGAAAGGAATCACTAATGTTCTTAAGAAATGATAAGAATGCAACATACCTTTTATTGCTGTTACAATTTTGGTTCTTATTGTTTGAATTTTTTCATTAGTTTACAGCAGCTTCTCCCAAAGATGCTGAAGAATGGGTCCAGCAGCTGAAATTTATATTACAAGGTAAGAGAACCAGTTGGACATGATTTCATGTTCCTTAAATATTAATTTAGGACTGGGTAGGATTGGGTTGTCACATATAAAGCCTAACTGACTTCTGAGAATGATCAAGAGAATACTGACATGCTCTCTTGGTGTAATATTGTCCATTCCCTTGGGTTTATTAAAGCAGCTTCCCTTGAATACAGTTTTTAACTTTAAGACTCACACACTTACAAAACCATTTAAATATGTTTTAATTTAAAAGCATAGCATGTGGGTATTAGTTTGTAGAGTTGTGTTCATTTAAGAAACACAATCTTAAGTCTCTTTTGCATTCTTTTAAAATTTGCTTCACAAAATGTGCTTTGAAGACATGGGATCCGATGTGATTCCAGAGGATGATGACGAAAGAGGAGAATTATATGATGACGTCGATCATCCTCTTCCGGTCAGCAGCCTATCAAGGAACCAGCCAATTGATGATGAAATTTATGAGGAACTTCCAGGTATCTATATTGTGGTGATGCACTAAAAGTGATCATGGCTCTTCTGATCCGTA